AAACTACAAAAAAAAACATGCAAAATAAAAAACTAATTTGAATAAAATGAACTTAATGGATTCTACTAGATAGAGCATGCAAGATAAAGAACTATTTCAACTATGGGTCATCTCTGTCTTCTCCAATGTCGATCTGAAACAGATACGGTGGTAACAGATTAATAAAGAGCAATTAATATTAATTATATCAAATATTCTTACCTTAATGAACAGTAGACTATAATGTTCCACAGTTTGCAAGTGTGAAAGGCAAACTAAATCCAGTAGGATTACCATAACAGAAAACTTGTTGTTTCAGTAGAATTCAAATAAACTTCCTCTTGCTCTGACTCCTCTGCTGAAAATTAACTGCATAATGTGGCAAGGCGAAGACGAAAACAGCAAATCAATAATGCAGCCCAGAACAGACAACACCATTGTAGATATTATTTGTTTCAGTACAATCAACCTGAACTTTAATTCTCCCCCATTTGTTGCACGACCTACAGATACGGACAAAAAAACTATTAATTACATTATAAATTAAAGGATGATTAAATTAAATAAAACACAAAATACAATAAAAATATGCACCAAAACAACAAATAAAATAGTTAATTATAAAATGGCGACGAGATGTCAATTTTATTTATGACCAATGACATAGATAAATGCATAGAAAAATGTTAAAGGTAATAGAAATAACCATAGATGTACGATGTCATTTTTTATTCTGCTAAAACAATAGATAACTGTTAGAAGTAAAACCATAGATGACCAGAGATGCTAAATTACTAAGAAAATTAAATAATTTCAAAATTACAGGAAAACAATTGATTACCTAGAGAATTACACTATGATGCTCCAGTTTTATTCGTAAGCGTTAACAACAGAGAAGTGCCTCTTACAGTAGACGTTTATGAAAGGAAAAATAATACCTCTGATGGTGAAATAAGCCGCATAGCAGACAGACAGAACATCACATTGCAGCCTCACTGTAAATCGAACTCCATGTCCATTCAATATGTTTAAATGACAACCCCTTGAAACAATTTAATGTTAGTTATCATCATTTAGAACACTGAAAGACATAATATGCTCAATTAAATATTAAACTATTAATTTCAATAATTTAGTATGACATTTGAGAATATGACTATAAAATTATAACAGTAATTGTAAATCAAATGGAATATATGATTCAGAAAACCACAAACTATTCATTAATTCGACTTTATAAAATAATAAATATTTCTTACCCTTTCTACAAATTGCTCCTTTCGAGGCCTATGCGGAAGAATGAATGGGGTTCTGCTTCTCCACATCCCAAATCCTTTTGTTTTGCCTTCTCCATGTTGGTGTTTTTATGGAAACCTATTGAAGCAATTAAATATTAGTTGTATGTTCACTAGGGTTGTTATTTTATTATTAATGATAATTACCATTGCTAACATCCAATCTGCTTTTTTTCGAATATTTTTAACCAATTAGGCGCTTTTTTGGAAATAAAAGTGACTGCTACGAACATCACATATGTAAAAAGCTTGTCCATCTAATTGGAGGATGTTACCCCAAACCAAGTCTACATTACAGAAGAAAAAAAATTGTTAAAATCCAATATACAAGGCATAAATAAATATTTCTCTAATACAGTTTGAAAGGCAGAATAGATTATAGAAATATATTAGTTATAATGGAGCGCGGTTCTGTTAATATGAAAAATCTGCAATCATCGCCTAAACCTGCCTTTGAAATTCGAAAATTCTAACAAAATTATAATTATTCAATTTCAAATAAACTAGAACTGCAAAAATTCAGTGGATTAGTGGACAGGCAATAGGCTGAGATTGACCCCATATTGGAGCACGAAACTAACCAACGGTAATCGAATACCGTCAATCACTAAATTGAAAAGTATTCCACACAATCAAATGAAAATCAAAAATAATTACGCTTAAATACCTTCAGGCATCGTTTCCATTTATGGATCGCAAAAATGGGGAGCTCTCATGGCCTCGAAAACAAGTAAAACAACACGGCATGAATACAGGAAACAAGACAAGACTAGCCTAACCATAGATAATAGATACACAAAGCCTAACTATGGACTAGGCGGAAGAACCATAGATGGCAATTCTTTTTATAGCCATGTTACATAGAGTAAAAACCTTAAGGGTACGTTCAATTATTCTAAGTCGTAAGTTAAAAGAAATTGATCCACCTATTGACAATGATCTGCTTAATTTAATTCTCAAACTAAAAGAAAAAAGATATGACGAAATAACACAAAAGATTATGTACTATAAATTACAAGTTATTTTCTTAGTACAAAACATATTTAAATAGACTACCCTAACAAAATCGAAAAAATTAGTTGCTTATTTGGAATAATATTATTGTACAGGCAACCCAATATACTGCAAAGCATTCTCATATACATTACAGTAGTAAACAGTTCATACTTCTTCATTAATACACATATTAATGTGTACCCCAGTTATTTCTATCTATAGAATTATTATCATTGATGCCTTAGAAGAACTTTAATACATTTTAGTATTTTCAGTTCGTTTTAATAAGGGAGACATAAATTTATGAAAATATGAACATTGAGTTCTCAAATTAGGGGTTGAATGTCCACTTCGGTAATTTCCAACTACGAAATTCTTTTCATAGATGCCTTATAACAACTTTAACATATTTCGGAACTTTCAGCTCACTTAACAAGGGAGAAATTAATTAATCAAGGTATAAAAATAATGCTTTTAAATTAGGGGTTGAAAGTGCACTGCGGTTATTTCCAACTATAAAATTCTGTTCACCGATGTCTTACCACAACTTCAACACATATTGGCACTTTCAACTAGTTTAAGAAGGGAGAAATTGATATATTAAAATATAAAAATAATGTTTTTAAATTGAGGGTTGAAGTGCACCGTGGTAACTTCCGACAAAAAAATTCTTTTCATTGATATCCCATAACAACTTTAATACACTTTGGTACTTTCAGCTCGTTTAATAAGGGAGGAATTAGTTTTAAATTTAAAGAAGATAAAAAAAAAATGAATCGTACCTTTCCAATGTAGTGTCGAAGATTTGATAAGAACAATCCCAGGTAAAAAGGGCAATATTGTAGCGTCCACTTCCATGGTCAACAGTCGAAGCAGAGATCGTGAATAGTTCGAAGTACTAAAATAATAAAGATTTTATTTTGTAATTAATAAGAAAGTTAAGAAAACAATCCTAAATAAAATCGTACGTACCTTTTTTTTTATAGGAAAGCAAGGAATTTTCGTTCAGAGGTAACCTTTTCGGAGTTCTGAAACAAAAAGTATATTGTTAATCATTATTCTAAAATACATAATTGAATAATTCAAGAAGAACTTGCATTTTTTGGCATGG